CCTCGTGACCCTCGTGAGGGTAACTCTCATAACCCTCGCAACCCTCGTGAGGGTTACGGGGGTTAGTAACCCTTGTTACGAGGGTTACGAGGGTTAATCTCACGAGGGTTACCCTCGTGAGGGTTACGAGAGTTACTAACGCTCGTAGCCCTCGTGAGGGTAAGCCTCGTGAGATTAACCCTCGTAACCCTCACGAGGGTTACGAGGGTTACTCACGGTTACGCCGACGGCGACGGCGACGGCGACGCCGACGCCGCTCAAGCCGGGAACGGGCGCCTAAGAGCTGCGCTCTAAAACACACAAAATCAACTTTATTTGTGAGGATATAAGACAAGAGCAGCATTTTACGGCTTTCTAAAAAAAATAGTCAATTTGGACGCGTTTCCAGGCTTCGATTTCTTCGCAGAGCGCAGCTTTGCGCTTGCGATCCTGCTGCCCGGGGGCCGCAGTGCAAAGCTGCCCCCTCGCCTGCCTCGTAGGATGGAGGGAAGCAAGGCGCACGTGTGTTGCACAACTAAACTCTTGGGGAACAAGACCGTGGGCGCAGAGATGCGCTCCGATAAGAAACCGAAACCTAGAAACTGATCCAAATAAAGAGTTTTTACAGAACGCATAAAATGCTACCCCTGCGTTATATCCTTCTAAAAAGAGTTGATTTAGTGGTTTTCGATGACTCGGCAAGTTTCTGATTGAAACCATCTGTTCGTTTTTAGTAATTAAAAAGTTAATTAACAAATCGTATTTAATTATCCGACTGATCGTTACGGTTAGGTCCCTGTACTACGTACCTTTGGCCGTACAACTCGCCTGCACAAACCGCATTAATTTAGCTTTCACTACCTTTCTAAACATATATGTAAAACTTAAAACTAAATCGCCCTGTACAACAGTGAAAAGGCAATACAAGCATGGTAGAGCCATATAGCTACACCATGCTGGTATCCCCTTTTCGCTGGTATAGGATGTCCCATATTACGTTATGCATGTATGGTTCCGTCCGCCTACATGGTACCGCATAATTCACTACGGTGGTCTAGGATGTCCCATAATACGACACGCTTGTATGGTTCCGCCCACCTGTATCGTTCCGCCTTAATCTACTATACTGGAGCCGCATTTTCGCTTGTATAGGATGTCCCATATTACGGTTACTCTTGTATGAGCCCTTTCCGACATCTTTCCATTATCGAAATTTTCCAACAGGGCCATAACCGGCACGAAATATCACGTGGCAATATTGCGTCCCTGATTGGATACAGGCGCTTCAAACAACCTCAAATATTGCCGAGTTGCTCGCTCGTTTCGAGCCTGACCCGATCTCAGCAATTCGTGTCGATCTAGGGAAAGCTAGGGAAAAACCCGCCAGCAGCACCAACAGTGCTGAGAAAGTTACTCCGTCAGAAGGCGGCCTCACGCACTCATCGCCCTCACGCCCCTCACGTCTCATGGTCCTCACGCCACTCGCCACCCTCACGCCCCTCACGTACTCATGGCCCTCACACGCCTTACGCACTCACCGCCCTCACGGCCCCCATGCCCCTCATGCACTCATGGCCCTAACGCCACTCACCACTCCCCTCATGCACCCATGGCCCTCACACCCCTCACGCACTCACCGCCCTCACGGCCCTCATAGCCTTCACGCACTCATGGCCCTCACGACACTCGCCGCCCTCACTCCCCTCACGCACTCATGGCCCTCACACCCCTCACGCACTCACGGTCCTCATAGCCCTTACAGCCCTCACGGCCCTCACTCACTTTCACACTCATGAAGTTTTCTGGTTCAGAAATTCATTCACCCTCACCTCACCTGTGAATATGAGGGTGAGTGAGGGTCCTCATAAGTGAGGTTTGCTGATGTATGCTCGTGACTGTGACCTTGAGCTCTAAGTGAAATGCTCAAAAGCGTGAGCTTTGAGATCTCTTAAGTGTGGTCGTGAGTTTTGAGACTAATAAGCATGAGCCTGAATCTATACGTGAGTCTTAGATTGGATATGACCACGCGCGTCGGCAAGCGACCGCGTGCGTGGCTGAGTGGTTACCGCGGGATTCTGTTTCCGGCTGCCGACAGGAGCGGACGCAGGATGGCTGGCTCCAGCGGAGCTGTGATAACGGCCCTTTCGGGCCGCGGTGTTGTCGCTGATAGCGCTACCCAGGACTATCGCATCGTAATGCCAGCCCTTCCGAGGGGCGTTTCTTTCTTGAACACGCTTTTTCTTCACTGTGACATCGCCGGACGACCATACAAGATCGCTGATTTTAAGACCGGACTTCGGGACGCAGGCGTGCTGCAGGACCTGAAGGCATGCGGGCCGTACCAGATGAACCACGTCTGGTCGGTTACATTCCATTCCCAGGCGTCGAAGTTCAAGCTCCTGCAGTTGAAAGAATTTCAGGTCAAGGGCAAGCGGTGCCTCGTCGTTGACCCAAACAAGGCGGAAATCAAGCTCAAGCTACACTGGGTGCCTTGTGAGGTTCCGGATGACGTGGTTCGGAAAGCTCTAGAGCCATTCGGAAAGGTGGAAGCCGTGGAAAGGGAGTCGTGGCACGAGGAGGGTTTCAACGGAGTGGAATCGACAACCAGAAAGGTGCATCTGATTCTGAAAGATACCACAGCGACGGACCGTATTCCGCACCAGCTGCGCATCTCCAACGCGAACGCGCTGGTCATCGTTCCTGGAAGGGCACCCATGTGTTTGCGCTGCCACAGGACCGGGCACGTTCGTCGAGACTGCAGGGTGCCACGCTGCGACTCGTGCCGGCGCTTCGGACATCTAAAGAGGACTGCGTACAGACGTACGCAACTATCACGACCGCTACGACTGAAGACCTTTCTTCAGACCTGACCATGGACCAGGAAGAGGCCGAAGAAACCACCGGAGACACCAAGCTTGCCGACTCTGCGCCTGAGCAGCAGCCCACCAGGGAAAGCACGGTACAAGACGGGGCTTCTATGCCTTCTGCTGTGCACCCATCAAAACTCCCTCCGGACCGACTCGGGAACCGAAGTCTACACCCTCGACTTCACCCAGGACCAGCCAGCACAGGACGGGACAGTAAAGGTGGCAGAATGCGACGGCGACGATGACTGCGACGCCGATGGGGCCGCAATGGAACTCTCTGAGTGCAAAACTGGGAAGCGACCTTGGGAACCGGTGGAGACTGACGGCAATGATGACGACGCCGACCTTGCCTCACCTGACCAAAAGCCTGTATGGCAGAACCCGAAAACCCGGAAAAGTCGCCGCCAGGGAAAATCCCGTGCTCTAGCGAGCAATCGCAGCAGGTCTTCTTCCCAGTAGGTTACCTTTTTTTTTGTAGCAAGATCTTAAGGCAAATCTGAGTTATCTTTCCTATATCTAAGTGATGTGCAAGCTTAAAATTGTAACCCTCAATTGCGTCAGCTTGATTACCCGGATTCGTATGCAATGGCTCTTGAACACCCTACTTAAAGAGCGAGCAGACTTGGCTTTACTGCAAGAGACCAAGCTTGGCCCCGGGCATGCAGAGCGCGCAGCAAAGTTTTTCGAGCGGTTGTTTGAATTCTGCTACTCTAACGCAGTTGGGCACAGCGCTGGCACTGCAATTCTTGTTCGCAAAAATTGGGGTATAACAGTTTTCCCAGAGTGGAAAACCGACCACAGTGGTCGAGTGTGTGCGGTAGATTTGTTGTGCCAAAGCGTCCTGTTGAGAGTGGTTTCGGTACACGCCCCGAATGAGCCGGCAGAGCGGAAAACTTTTTTTGAGGATTTAAAGCAGTACATCGATACACCCGCCAGAGTGATCGTCGGCGGTGTTTTTAATTGCGTTTTAAACGCAAAAGATTGCACGCGCGGCGTAAGGCAAGACTCGAGTCTTCCGGTACTTAGGAAGCTTCTCAGAGAGCATGACTTGCAAGACGTGACGGTGATGGTTAACCTTACTGGCAACGGTTACACACACTGGCAGGGAGAGTGCCACTCCCGGCTGGATCGCTTTTATGCGTCCGGAGAAATGATAAGAGCCGTTCGAGCTTATCGCGTCGAACCCGTAGCCTTTTCTGATCACGCGCTTGTCACCGTGAGGTTCGGAAAGACGGAATCAAGAAAGCAAGACGATTGGTGGCAGTCGTGGAAACTTAATGAAACTCTTTTGGAAGATGACGAGGTGGTTAAGATGGTGGAAACGCTTATTGCTCAAAAGACTGTCGAAGGAATAAATGCCGTAAACTGGGAGTTGCTCAAGCAAGAGATTAAAGTGAATCTCATGCGAGCTGGGCGGGAAAGGGCGAATAATAAACGCATGGAAAAGGCTCTTCTTAACAGGACACTTAAAACGCTTATTCGCGCGGAAAATGAAACTCCGGGTTTATTTGGCAGTTATGTAAAGGAATGCAAGGGCCGATTACTGTCCGTACTTGAAGAAGAATTCAAAGGCGCGATGGTACGCTGCAGAATGACAACCCTGGAGCGGAACGAAGAGCCAACGAAGGTCTTCAAAGTGAAAGAACGCGAGAGAGCCCAAAAGAATAAAATCACAGAACTTCGCACTGACGAGGCGGCTCTCACTCAGCAGGAGGACATAGAGCGAGAGTTCGTCAGATTTTATCGCGAACTGTTCGAGGAAAAGAACAACCGTAACCAAGGTTTATTACGCCAATTTGTGGAACTAATGCCAAAAGCAAAGACATCTTCCGGGCCAGAGAACGAAGATATCACAGCCGACGAAGTCCTTCAGGCGATTAAGGATCTGGCTCCTCGAAAATCACCGGGCATAGATGGGCTCGGAGCGGCTTTCTACAAAACGTTTTCGGAAAAACTAGCCCCCATTCTCTCGCAAGTTTATGCAGACATCTTCAAAAGGGGGCTGCTTCCCCCTTCGCTGAGGCAGTCGGTGACTGTCTTAACACCCAAAAAGATCAACAAGGAAGAGACGCGCTCTACTGACGATTATCGGCCAATTAGTTTGCTCACGGCAGATTATAAAATCTTAGCCAAATTACTAAACAAACGCCTCGAGCGTATGCTCAACCCGATTATCGGGGAACATCAAACGTACGGTTTTAAGGGACGGACGATCAGCTCAAACTTGCATGTTATGCGTATGATAACTGAAACAGCGAATGCATTACAAACGCCGATAGCCGTACTTCAAGTGGACTTAAAGAAGGCTTTTGATAAGGTGGCGCATTCTTTTTTGTTTTCAATGCTAAAACACTGTGGAGTAGGGGAAAAGCTGCTCGGCTACGTGAAGTTATGCTACAAGGATATCACGACGCGCCTTTTAATTAACGGGTGCAAATCAAGGCCCATTCCAGTGCTCTCTTCGGTGAGGCAAGGTTGTCCAATGTCCCCTATACTGTTTGCGCTGTATCTAGAGCCTTTATGTAAAGCAATTTTGAGTGACGTTAGTATACGGGGAGCAAATCTAGCCGACTCCTCGGTAAAGCTCTTAGCTTATGCGGACGATGTAAGCATTGTATGTTCATCTAGAAGAGAGTTGGTTTCGGCTCTCGCGCACATCAACAACTTCTGCAGCGTGTCAGGGGCCGAAATGAATGTTAAAAAGTCTTCAGGGACTTGGATGGGGCCGTGGCCATCTAAGCCGAAAATATTCATAGGTATTCAATGGTCCGATTCGATGTCTAACTACCTAGGGCTTAGTTTGAACTTAGCGGATATCTGTAAAGGAGAAAGTGGTCTGCGGCTAAACGCCGTCAGAGCCAAAGCTGCCGATTGGCAGGGGAGAAATATTCCACTTCTAAGCCGAAGTTTTGTGTGTAACTCCGTGTTTTTTTCATGCGCATGGTATTCGGCGCAAGTATTACCTTGTCATAGCAATCTGGTGCAAAAAATGCAACGTATGTGTGCTACCTTTGTATGGAATTCAAGTTTTGAAAAAACGCGACGCACTAATCTTTTCATCAGCCCTCACAAAGGCGGGCTAGGGCTAATCAGTATTGATACAAAGCTGAAAGTGCATAGGTTTATGCTTTTTCGAGACAAGAAAGTCCCGATGTCTGCGGCTGCCTTTCTGAAGCTTGGAGGGTGTTATCTTTCTTCATGGCTCGATATCAGCAATAGTGACGCCGCAGCCAAGAAGGCGCCTGTGTTGCGCTATTACAAAGAAATAGCAGAAGCAGTAAAGTTCTTTGAGAGCAGATTCTCGAAGGACTATCTAAGCAAAGTTAAAAGGAAACGCCTATACTGGGACACAATTGATCTTGTCATGCCACTGCCGCTCTATCGCTCTGGCTTCAGCGAGGCAGACGGATCCGATGTTTTCAGACGTCTGCGGAGATACCCCGTTCGGCAGGGAATTAAGGACCTTTTTATTAGGTTCCACATGGAAGTGTTACCTGTAAAAACATGGGAGGAAAACAAAGGCTTTCTCATGCCATGGGGAACCAACTGTGCTATCTGTCCTGTTCCGGAGACCCTACAGCATACTTTTTTGTATTGTACAAATGCCGAAATTTTTTGGGCGCGGCTTCGTGCCGAAGTCGGTATTGCACTGTACCCAACGTGGCATTCGTTGAAGTTTCTTGACGTTGGCAACCAAGAACATAAGCTATGTTGGGAAATGCTAGCACTGATTGGTATACACGCAATCTGGAGCTCCCGGACCGATCACACATTAGTAAGGGAAGGAGGACAACCCGCATGGCGGTACCTGATTCAGGGGATCAACTACGTGAGCTCCCTAACAAAGGCAACAGAGTTTCCGGAAAGTGACTTTTGGGACAGTCTCAAGTTGCGCTTGAAATAGCCTATTGCTTGCATGCAAAATCATGGCTTGGTTTTTTCCTTTACGATCGTAACTGTATGTGACCCTGGTGATGCTTATTCTCAAAATATTGTACTTCGCTGGTGCTAAGGGAAGTTCCGACTTTCACCTTCCCTTTTTACAATGTACATAGCCCGTTTTTTACTCAATAAAAAAAAAAAAAAAAAAAAAGTTGAGTGGTTACCGCGCTTGACTGTCGCGCCGAAAATCTAGGTTCAATTCCAGTCGGTGGAATGTCCTATTATTTATTTTTTCAACATTGCGTTATCGTGAGTTTGATAACATTCTTGACTGATCAAGTTCCGAATGTTTTAGTCGCCGAACGTTCTAGGCCGATTTTTCCAGAAGCCAACGCGCGTACATAGTCAGTTTCGCCTCAGCGTTCGATCCTACTGCTTCACCGCCTTCGACGCCCGTGACGCTCCGTTATTATCTTTCTTGTTCCTTCTATTTTTGGGCACAAGTTCGCCCCGTTAAACGTTCAGCTTTCTCAGTCATTCGCCGCCTCATCACTTGTCATTCGTGATATTTTGGTGGAGGTGCTGGGTATTGCATTCTATGCCCGTGGAGCGTACCTTCCCAAAGGCATCCCGGCAAAGCGACGTGCTCATCTCCGGAAAGCTACCTTTCGCCGAAGACGCCAAGCTCGGAGAAGTTGTCGTATTAGAGGGCCGTCTCCTGAATTGGGTTTGCTGCCGGACAAGCCCAAGCCGAAGAAGACGACGATCGCCAACCACCAACAGACCCCCGCCGCTCCTGCCGTCGTCTTCCTGCCCGTCGCTCCTCGGACAGCGGCTCCCTTCCACGGCGAAAGCCACGAAGACATCGAAGACTAGGTCCAACAGTACAAACGAGAGTGGCCCGTCATAACGGGTGGACACCGGAACAGTGTCTCCAGAATGCTTACTCCGTTTTGGAAGCAACCGCCCGGAACTGGTTCGAGACCCGCGAAGCATCGGTCACCTCCTTTGAGCAACTCAAGGCTGAGTTGCGAAGAACATTCATGAACCAACATCAAAGAGAACGCGTGCAAGAGCCTCTTGAAGTGAAGATCCAAGGTCCTAATGAGAGCGTCGTTAGCCTCGTGGAAGATGTCCTGCGACTCAGCAAGCGCGCCGATCCTCAAGCCCCCGAAACAAAGGAGCTGAGAATCCTGATTCGCGGCGTGAAGGAAAACATCTTCCGAGCTCTTGTTTGAAGACCGCCTACCACCGTCAAAGGCTTCATCACAGACGCCACCAACATCGAACGTGCCCACCAATCACGCGCCGCCCACTATCACCGAGCTCCCGGCATCGCTGCCTTTTCATCTTCCGGTTGGCAACACCACGGACATCCACGAGATAATTCGGGACGTCGTTCGGGAGGAGGTCAAGAAACTTTAACCTGCCGCCGCAAGCCGAGCTTCGCCCTCAATCGCCGAGATTGTCAGGTAAGAAGTTCTTCAAACGCTGCAACCAGAAGTTCTCGTCAGCACCGATCCGTAGCACCGACGCTGACTTCGCCGCAGTGGCCCGTCGGCCACCGCGTCCTGCTCGCACATATGTCGCGCCGCCTCGACGTCAGTCTCCTGCGCTGTAGCACGACAGACGCCACGACGACCCGGTGCAGTACGCCCGCCCGGAGCCTGGCGCCCTAGGAAAACCGACGTGTGGCGAACGCCCGACCGACGCCCTCTGTTTTTCCATTGAGGGGAAGCAGACCACACCTACCGCCGATGCCCATAGCGACGACTCGGGCTACGCGGGTTCCACACAACCGACCCGGGCCCCCGTCATGCTGAACGTCCTAGCGACATAGGCGAGTACCTGCGAAGACCGCAGTCGTCCGAGCCTGCGTCCCGCCGAGAGTTCCGATCGCCATTGCCGCGACCTCCAGCTTCGCCGATGCACCGACCCCGACGTGAAAGCCGGTCGCCCCTCGCTCATCACCGGGAAAACTAGGCGCGGCAACCCCTAGATGTGGGGTTGCCGAAAATAACCGAGGTAAAGAGGCTCCAAGAACGAAGGAGCGCTGCCACTCTCCCGACGCTACACATCACAAAGGCGCTCCTGCATCGGTGTCCAACAACCTAAACGTTGGTATCGAGTGCCTCGACGCGTCGGCACTCGTGGACACCGAAGCAGACTACTCAGTTTTGAGTGGGAGGCTCTCCCGTCGCGTTCGAAAGGACATGACCCCGTGGGATGGACCACATATAAGAACAGCCAGAGGACACCTCATGACACAAGTCAGGAGATGCATTATTCGCGTCGAGATCCACGGTGAGACATGTCCTGTCAAGTTTGTCGTTCTGCAAGTCTGTTCGAGGGATGTTATCTTTGGAATGGACTTTGTCTGCGAGTATGGTTCCGTCATCGACCTCGAGGAAAACCAGTTGACGCTGCGAAACCCTGTTCTGCCGCGGGTGGAGAACAACACGACGTCAACTGCGATCTGAGTTATCGCCGACCATGTGAACCTGCCGCCGCGGTCGAGTGTTTTCGTCGCCATCAAAGCCGACGCAGCCATACACAGTGAAGCTCTTCTGGAAGGCAGCATCCAACTGCTGCTTGAAAAGGGAATTGGCGTCGCACGAGGCGTAACGGATCGCCAAGAAGGACGTACAACTGTTCTCGTGACAAACGTTGGAGAGGAGCCGCAGCACCTAACGAAGGGCACCACCTTGGGCCACATTGAGGAGCTTCAGGCGCCAGCCGTGGTCACCGCAATCTCCGAGGAAACCTCGTCGTCACAGCAGAAGAGTACGTCGCCGCCGCCACTCCACATCTACCCGGAGCTGCCAGCTCCTAAGCGTCGGCAACTGGTTGATCTCCTTGCCAAATACAGTGACTGTTTTGCCACATCGTCGAAATTTCGCCAAACACCAATTTCGAAACATCACATTATTACCAACAACGACGAGCTCCCTGCCCACCAGTCGCCGTATTGAGTCTCATTAAAGGAAAGGAAGGTGATTCAAGATCAAGTCAAGGAAATGCTCGACGACGACATTATTCAACCCTCAAACAGAGATCCGCACGGACACTGGTAACGCCGGACTTGGCGCAGTGCTGGTCCAAATGCAAGACGGAGCAGAGCGAGTCATCGCAGACGCGAGCCGGACGCTGTCCAAGGCGGAGACGAACTACTCAACGACTGAAAAGGAGTGCCTTGCTCTAGTCTGGGGAATAATGAAGTTCCGCCCATATTTGTATGGCAGTCCTTTTCGCGCCCTCAAGGACCACTACTCACTCTGCTGGCTCGCTAGTCTGAAGGACCCCTCGGGACACCTTGCCCGGTGGAGCCTAACGACTGCAGGAATTCGACGTGACCGTGGTGTGCAAGTCCGGCCGGAGGCACAATAACGCCGACTGCCTGTCAAGGGCCCCAGTCGAGGCCGGTCTTGCCTGCATCGAAGACGACGACGATGAGAGTTTCCTCGGCGCTCTGGATGTCAGCAACATGGCAGCCCTCCAACGTGACGACCCTGAACTGCGAGCGCTCATCGAGCACCTAGAGTGACAAGCGAGTGCGGTTCCCCGTGTTTTTTTTACGAATCCTGCCTACCTTCTCAATACGGCAAGGGGTGCTGTACAAAGAGAACTTCGTCAATAATGACACAGCATAGCTGTTGGTCATTCCTTCCACTCTTCGAGAAGAAACCTTCCAGGGATGCCATGACGACCCAACGGCTGGACAACTTGGATACAGCAGGACGCTCGCGAGGAATCGAGAAAAGTACTACTTGCCGGGGCTGCCGAAGACTGTTCACCTCTACCCTCGATCATGCCACGAGTGTCAGCGACGCAAGAAACCGTTGACAAAGCCGTCAGGACTTCAGCATCCGAACTCATCCCCGTCCACGCCGTTCCAGCAGATTCCAATTGATTTACTTGGCCCTTTCTCGCCGTCAACGTATGGAAACCGCCCCAAGCGGCACAGGCGAGTATCTACACAATATTGTTGGCAAATACTCCGAATATATGGTTCTTCCCATCCACACGATGTCTAGACAATATCGTTTCAAAAGCGGGGCAGCACCACCACAATATCACTGAAGTACCGCCACCGTTAGGCTGAGTACCCACCGGACGCCGAGTATATCTCTAGAGTACTAGCAGCGTCGGCTGAGTGCACGCCGGACGTCGCGTGTTAATCCAAGGGCAATCGAGTTGTCGGAGTACCCGCCGGATATCGCCCGAATATCCATGGAGTACTTGGAGCGTCGGCTGAGTACCTACCGGGAATCGCCTATGTCAATCAAACTGGCGTGTCGTCTGAGCACCTGCTGGATATCGGGCGTATATCTATAGAGTACTTAGAGCGTCGGCTGAGTATCCGCCGGGGGTCGAAAGTTTCAATTTTGTACTGGCAGTGTCGTCCGAGCACCCGCCAGATATCGCACGAATATCTACAGAGTACTTGGATGGTAGGGCGAGGTAAGACGGGCAGGAAAGGAGCAAGCAGACGGAACGCTGCAGAGAAGAGAGGGGGAAACCTCCTTTCTCTTTAACTTTCCGTCTGCTTCCTTCTTCCCGGCCCGTCAGAGCCTCGCCCTACCTTCGCGCGTTGCAACGGACTACAGATACCGCCCAATTTATGTGGAAAAAAATATTTTTATTTGCTCACGCCTCCATTACGCTTTGGGCTTTTTTGGCACCTTTGTTAAACACACATGTAGATACCACCAGCTGAACATATACATTAAGCGCATACACATACACGGCACACGCAAACATCAGCCCAACAGCACACTAACCACCACCTCCTAGAAATGAGACCGTAGCGCTCTTCTCGTGACGTCGCAACGGAAGGCCATCGGGGGTGTGCGACGAAGCGAACGCGATGCGCGTGGATCGACTGTCGCAACGTGCGTCTTATTAGACAGTTTTAGTATAGCGTTGCTGGACCTTACGTACGCAATAGTATAGCGTACGCTAAAAATGACCTGCTCGGACCGAATTTAGATGTGCGTTACGTTTTCGAGTGAACACCGCGCATGATCTTGGTTAAATCTGCTAGAGCCGTAGAATTCCGCGTGCTTATAGCGCATCCATGCCCCTGGAAAGAAATATT